AATATTTATACATAAAATGTATAAATATTAATTTCTATAATATTTATTATATATGCTTGAAACTATTCATCAAAAAAAATTAAATCCCTTGGCTAATTTAATTTAAAATATATTTGATAACCTTATTTCAATATAATTTCAATAACCAATTATAACCTCAAAAAGATTTATTCTTACTAGCCTTAAAACAAAAAATTTTACAAGAAAATCAATAAAAAGAAACTAAAGGAAAAAAAAACCAAAAAAAAAAAGAAAACAAAAAAGAAAGAATTAGATAAATCAAACTGATCATTTGTTCAAAAAATAGCATATCAATTTAAATATAAAAATTAAAATACAAAAATTAAAAAAATTAAAAAAATCAAAACATAATCGACAGCCACAATAGCTATCGAATATACTAACTATAATCGACAGCCATTTCTGTCGATTATAGCAAGTATAATCGACAACCACAATGACTGTCGATTATACTTAAAACCCGCCCATTCCCCCCAAAAAAATTAAATCTCCCGACTAATTTAATTTGAAATATATTTGATAATCTTATTTCAATATAATCGACAGAATTTCTGTCGAATATATTTTTATTATATAAGGATTTCAAAATCAGAACATCCCATTGTCTTCTTTTTTTTTCTTTCTCACAAGCCGTCCCAGTTTTTCTCTCAACTTTTTCTCCTTTTGTTTTTCCTTTTTCTTTCATCTTTTATACTCTCCCATTTGTATTTTTGTAAATATCTCTAGTTTTATTTTAGTTTTCCTTTATACTTATTCCATTATTTTCCTTTGTTGACAGTCCATCATCTTCTTTCTCTTCATCCTTCTCGGTCAAAGCATTTTTTTTTTATGCATTATCCAATTGCTTCAATTTAGTTTAAATTAAGAATTTTTTATTATTTGATATACTAATAGTTCCTTCGTTTTTTTGTGTGTGCAGATTTTAATATAATAATTATGAGGTAATTTTTCTTTTAAATTTGATTATACTTTTTCTTTTCTTTTCTTTTAATAAAGTTATAATATGTACCAATGCAATTTTTTTTCTTATTTTTGGCAGGATATTGATCAAAAACTAATTAAGGTTAGAATTCTTATTTTAGTTTTATTTATGTTTATCTACTATTTCTTATATTATAT